GATTATTGATCGTTATTATGAGGATGCAGCATTAGTTCAGGGTTAGGGTTTTCTAAATGAAGTAGGATCTTCAATATGACGGTAAAGTAATATTGTCGCCCCCTAATCATAAAATAGTGTTTTTTATGAAAGGTGTCAATAGTCTGTAATATAATTCATATATCACAAGTCCTCAACATGTTAGCCTGAATGAGAGATGTAGCTAATGGCGACAAATGTAGAAATTGAAATGAATGAAAATGTTTGTTTGAGACTTCAAGGTATTTAGAGAGTTGCTGCTGATCTGAGGACTTATTGTGTTTTTTACTAAGATATTAAAACAATAATGCCAGGCTGTAGAGTTTGACGTTTACAGTTAGAATAATTAATGTTGGTCAAAAGGCCAATGGCTGACATGTTGAATTGATCATGTTGTTTTCAGACGCGTTATAATCGACCCCCTGTTGAAGGCCTGTGCTTTAGATAGATTAAACAAAGAGACTACTATAGATACAATAAAACACAAATATAAGTTATCACACGCTGTCTGCTGATCTTCATGTGCCTCTGTCGCTTCTTATCTCAACACTGAGGCCTTTGTGCTGTGTGTGTGTGTGTGTGTGTGTAGTTCATCAAGCTGTCATTTATTGAGCCTGTAACTAACAAAGAGGACAAAGTGTTGAAAGAAGTTGCTTTTTGTTACTGTCGGGGGGGGGTGTTAAGTAAGGGCGGGGTGCAAAGTGAAACGGCACTTTAGTGTGTGTGTGTGTGTGTGTGTAATAGTATTGAAGCAATCAGGTGTTATCTTATCAGTGAGCCATAGGTCATTTATCTTTGATATGAGGATCTAACTGTTATCACCAGAAAAAGACCAAATGGACTCGGATTAACCTGCGTTTACTAAAAATGTCCGTTCACTCTAGCGTTAATTTAACAGTGTTGGGTCTAATTCAACATTATATTGCGACCGCATTATTCATTCACTTCATTCAGCAGTTTGCTTGAATAGTTCCTCCTATAATGCAGTATTTGAAGTTTTTATTTACCGTCTCTTTGCTAAACAAAGCCTAGTTTGAACTGTAAAGCTGCAGGACCAAGCATTAAAAAAAGACTTTGGACTGAGCATAATTGTATGCAATATAATGTTGGTTATCAACTATATATTTTAAGTATCAAATGATTACTTTGTTTGGGGCCAGTTTTCTCCCAGCATGCACCTGGTGTTCCCATACCTCCTTGCAGTTCCTTACATGGATTTATTTCTAAAGGATGATTTCTTTTTTTCACCCGCAGTGGGTTGGATTTGAATTCCTAAATGTTATCTTTTCTGCTCAGTTGTCCTTTTACAGCCACATTATGCAACACTCCTCTCGTGCAGCTGTCATAATCCCTTTTATTCAGCAATTTCTTCATGATAACAGATGGCCTTTCACACACATTCACGCCTCTGTCTGCTTCAGGTGAACTTTGGACAGCATGTAGTGTCTTAACCCATGCAGGACGTGTCTTTACCACCCAGATCGTATTTAGAGATGTATTATATTCATTAGTCTCATACTGGACGAACAAAAGGCAACATTAAGTTCAGTCTGATGTGAATTTAAGTGAGCAGTACTTGTTGAGGCAACCAACCAAGCATTTAATATAGATTTTACTTAAAAATTCACTATGATAAAATTCCGTTTTCTTTTTTCATTCCCCAATTCGATATAACTCCCCAGTAGAACGATTTTGGTTATTTCTCTTAAAAGTCTCGTTTTTTAATCTAATTTCCCCTGAAATCAAGTGTAAAAGTGGCGTTTATAAGTAACCAGTTATCTTACACGTTTTCAATGAAAGTTATCAAATGCATGTATTTGGAGAACAAGGTACAATATTTTCCTCTGAGGAAGAAGTATAAAGTAGCATACATAATGGAAGTATTTTGCCTGCAACATATAGTTATGTTTTCTACAACAACAAAAAAACACTGTTTTATTGCAATTTTATAAAGATAATTGGTGACATTTCCCTTAATTTCCATTATTCTGCCCTTAAAACAACTTTTTTTATTTAAAAAAAGGCTAAGTAGTTATTTTGATATACTCAATTATTCTTTTTCTAGAAAGTATCTCACTCTCATTTAAGTGTTTCTTATTATTTGTGAGATACTATTGCTAATCAGTCATCACCAGTATCGACTTGTGAAAAAGTAATTTTCACATTTGCAGACAAGGGCAATGTTAATTTATATAACAGTAAATTGGTATTGGTCAGGCGTCCATCCGGAGAGAGGCCAAGCTGCGCATGTCCCCCCGCCTCTTCCTCTCCTCCCGGTCTCTCTCTGCCAGGCAGAGCCACTGTGTCGCTGCACGCTCTACTGGAGGTTCAAGATGGACGCCAAACAGGGTCAGTCTGCTCATAATCTTTCGTTAACCGAGCCCCTAAAACCGCTTTTACATGTCGCTTTCTGCGCACGTGTGTATCATCGGGTTAGTTAGCATGAGCATCGGGGATAAAGCCGAGTTCATGCCGGGCAGCGAGCGAGGGGAGCGGGCCACCGCGGAGGTCACGCTGCACGGTTTGACGTGTTGTCCCCATGGTGAGGGGGGCATCCCGGGGAGGATAATGAAACCCCGGGTCCATGTTGGAAAGAGAGCTGGTGATTTAAACATAGCGACCGGGGTTTAGATCGCTGTGATGCGGGTCTATTTTTAGCCTAGTGATGTTAGCACGCCTGCTACCATATGTAGCCAGACAGCCACATTTGGACCTGTTCCTCCTCCTCTTCCTCATGTTGGCTCCTCTCCCCGGGTGTTTGAATCCAGACAGCCGCCCACTGTGTCAACACCCCCGGGCGCAGCTGCTGTTAGCTGCTAGCATCAAGTTAGCATGATGAGCGGTTAGATAATGAGGGGAGAGCTAGCTCCAAGCTAAAGCTAGCTGTCAACGCCCACATGGACACCCCGCTATTCTCAATGAGAAGCTTCCAGAACATGAAGCTGCCTTTTCATGATTATCTCTTGTAAATTACTGTTTTGAAAGCAGCAGCCAAGAGGAACTGATGTCTGGTTCTGTTGTTAGTCATTGTAAAACAATAGCTGCACTGAAATTGCAACTGACGATTTTTTTTTAACCAAATACAAGAACAGTTTTGACTAAATGTTGAAACATGCTTCCAGTCAAATACAAATATATATATATATAAATGAACAGTAGCCTACATAATACAAACTATTTATTGTATTCATACAGAATACAACTACAGTAAATGCATTAAACATCAATAGCAAAAACACCAGTTCTTAAAGTATAAGTAGAAAATAAAAAAATACTTTGCACTGTTAGAAAAGCTAGACGAGCAAAGGAAATATTAAGACATGTTTGTGAGGAATTTATAGCTACACAGATGATGTTTGACGCATTTCTTTTGGATTAAATAATACTCAAAATTGTCAGATCATCCATTGTTTCGCATCCGCCTCAGTTTGCATTTTAAATTCTGCTTTTTATCTTTGGATGTAAATCAGGCTTGGAGACATAATATATTTTACAATGGTTTGTATTTTATACTTTTATCACAAGTGAACCTTTAATAATGACAGTAGATTGTAATTTCCGATAAGCAATGCAGAAAATGAAGCTGTCAGATTCCAGCGTGCAGTTTGACGTCACTCCTCAGTGTCACACTGAAGGCAGGGAGAGTCTGCAGGGAACCACGACTCCTCTGCTGCTAATAATGTCCGCTGACCTGCCTGGAATTCCCTGCTGAAATTTAAGTGTGAGACTGACCCCCTCCCTTCCAAAATCTTCACCACCTCCCCGTCTATCTGGGTCCCTGCACCACCCGACACGTCAAAACCACCCATATGTAACATTTAGATCTTTTTGAAAACTACCCTGATTTAAGATTAAATTACTCGCAGTGAGATCAGCAAATACCAATACTAACAATTTAATTTAGATATATTTCTCTTTTCCCTCCGTCAAACATTTCATGACTTCTACAGCTAGCGAGGCAGACATTGAGTTCATTTGGGGCGGCATAATAAAATAACGCTCATGCAAGTTGAAGCAATGTCTTCCAAAATCCTAGCAGCCGAGTTGGTGTTAGATCACGTGGAAGTCTTAATGGGGCATCATGGTGAAAAGTCCAGAAGGCATGGAGACGAGGAGGAAGGTTGTGAGTCAGAAGCCGTTGTTGGGATGACAGTGTTTGGACCTCTGACTTCCTGCAGAGTTGCAGCATGCAAACTTTAAAAATGCTCCGTCACATGCACCCGCCTTGTGACTGTGGAGGCAAGAAACTCAGGACAGGGCATTTCTGTGATGTCCCACGACAACCCGCTGATTTCTCATGTGTAATCGACCGGTGTCAAATTAGGTTAACACATAAGGAATTTACTATGGGGTATTTTATTTAGTCTTTATGAGCAAGGACGGCATGCAAGTGGGAATATTATATTAGTCTAAAACATGAAGCATTAATATTGTATAGCATGTGCAAATTGTTAAATACAATTTGGTTATAATAAAAAGTAGGAATTTCAGCTATATACCTTATAACTAAAAGAATACAGTTCAATATCACCCTTTTCTTTACTTCTCTATGGAAGTTTTTTAATGTTTTTATTTATTTAAAAAGACAAAATAGACAACTCTTTAGTAATGATGTTTTTATATTTATTTTTTCCAAATAAATTGGCTTTTTAATGTTTTTTTCCATTAGGATTATTTCTGTTTTAAATATTTAACCCAACAGAATAATTGTATTTAATATCTGGGGACAGTTTTCCTTAAGAGCCCCTAATATTATCCAACAGGTGACCTAAATACCAATAAACCACACCCACGTGACAATTACCGGAAGTGATAAACAATAAGAATTCAACGTGATGCAAACAGAAATGAAGATAATAATATAAATAATAATAAGCAATGGCAAAACAAGCATTTTGGCTCCTACAATAATGTTTAAAGGAGTACATTAAAAGTGTTTTCTCTCTGGATGTTTGACACTAAACGCCCTCTTCCTCCTGCAGTGGTGGATCTCCTCTACTGGCGCGATGTGAAGGCGACGGGCGTGGTGTTCGGCGCCGCGCTGCTGCTCCTCCTCTCGCTGACGTCCTGCAGCATCGTGAGCGTCTTCTCCTACATCGGCCTCGCTCTGCTCTCCGTCACCATCTGCTTCAGGATATACAAAGGCATCCTGCAGGCCATCCAGAAGTCTGATGACGGACATCCATTCAAGTGAGTACAGCAGTATTTAACGTAGTGTGTATGTTTTCAAGGTTAGAAAATACATTGTATACGTACAGATTTACATTACTGTTGAACAGGTGTTAATTATGGAGTAAAAGAAGAGCCTTCAAATATTGGAGTAAAAGAAGAGCCTATGATTGGAAGTATAAAGAGGAATAAATACAGGGATAAATGAGTAAATAAAAATAAGGAGGAAGGAATCAATAAAAAACTACATTTAAAAGGAATACATTTAATTACAAACTGGTAACTAAAACGTGCTTTATGAAGAGAAATTAATAAATAAAACCATCGAAATATACAGAGGAAAAAAATAAGAGGCAATACTAAAATTGAATAAATAGGTTAATTAATTTAATGTGGAAATATTAATAAAGTAAATGGATACAATTTGAAACTTTAAAAATGTTCAAATAATTTGAAAGTATCCAGAATAATAATTATTGTAATTAAACATAAATAAAGAGACTTATAGTGCCTTTAAAATATTCAAACAATTAACATAACTATTTGAATTAATAGAAATACACATGTTAAAGAAAACGCAGTACCACGAGAAAGCGGCCCAGAACGGCGTCTTGCCGTCATTTGAAGCCCTTATTCAGCTCGGAACGCCCTGAACTCGAGCCGAGGGCGTCCAAGAAAATAAATAATTTGAGAGAAGATCGAGTTTTTATAGCTATAGGAAAAAGGACAAGGACATCCCTCTGTTGGAGGGGCAAAGGAGTCTGGTGGGATTCTTTTCGCCGCCAGCAAAGCGTGCCAGGGACGGCTCAATTCAAAATTCAAGTCACGTGACAAAAAGTTGAAAATAAATAATACAAATATCTTACAGTGGAGAAATGAAAGAATAAATGTTGCAATATTAAGAAAAATAAAATGTTTTAACTATAAAGAGAAATAATAAAGATGGATAAGGAGGCAGTGGATTAGTGCGTTGGTGTTGGGATCAGGAGCACAGGTTCAAACCCCGTCAGCATGGCGTTGTGTCCCTGAGACTCTTCACCCCAAATTGCTCCTGTGGGGATTGCCCACAGTGTTGAGTATGTAAGTCGCTTTGGATAAAAGTATCTAACAAGTGACATGTAATGTAATAAAGAACATGATATTCAAACACTTAACATAACTTGTAGATTAAATAAATAATAAACACTACCACGAGAAAGCAGCCCAGAATATAAAATGGTGTCAGTGGAAATTCAACTCAGCCAATGAGTGACCTGATTAATCCTGATGATCAGTCTGAGCTGCAGGCGGACATTTTGATGAATGTCAGGCACAGTTTTAGAAACACAAAAATATCCCTGTATTTTCAGAGCGAGTCTGTGAAGAGGGTTTTTCTTTATTCTTAGCCTCTTGATGTTGGTTTGTTTGTTTATCCTCCATCCTGGCTCGCTTTCAAATCCTTCTTACTGCGTTTCCTTTCACTGGCTGACCTCATGGCTCATGACGACCAATTAGCTCAGATTAACATAAACCGAGGAAAAGAGTTGCTTTAAAAATCGGATTTCTACACAAGATCTTCTTATGTTGCATATTTTAATTATAGATTTCCTAAATTATTATTGTGTGTTCGATTTTTACAAACAGGTTTTGAAATATCTGATTTACGATATGATGATGGATGATATTTTCTAGTTTTTGGAAGAAAAACAAATCTGACTTAATATGATGACTAGGTGAAATAGTCAGTATACTAACTATCGTTTTAATGTACTTGAAAATGTTCAAAGTGCCTGAAAGTTGACAGTTCTTCCTCCTCTGTTTCCCCCCCGCAGGCAGTACCTGGACCAGGAGGTGGCGCTCTCTGAGGATATGGTCCACAAGTACAGCGACCTGGTCCTGGCTAAAATCAACAAAGGCATCTGCGAATTAAGGCACCTGTTCCTGGTGGAGGACCTGATCGACTCCATCAAGGTGAGAGGGAGAGATCATGGATAGAATATGCACAAAAAAGGATTTAGAATCAGAAACAGGTTTATTACCAGGTAGGTTGTCACGTACGAGGAATTTGACTTGATGTCGCACCATACGTAAAACGAACATAAAAAAACACAGATGGCGAATTATTTGAAGAACACTATAATAACATTACAAAAAAATAAGATAAATGTAGTGAAAATAAAATAGAGCAGTATTTACATTGAAATAGAATGCTATAGAGGTGAAGTCCCGCCCATCTACTTCCGGAAAAAGTATGTATTGAAGTCAATGGGGAGAGAAAGATTATCTTTCGATCCCGTTTGAATTGTGCCACGAATTACACACAAAATAATTTCCATGTAAAAAAAGTTAGTTTGTCGTAAAACTGTTGAAATATAAGACTATGAAAAATACGCAACTAGAAAGACTACAAATCCCGGTCCCGCATGCTGGCTCTTACGGACCGACTAACTCCCCTTGTGTGTATGTACAGCTCTCAACATGCCCAGACTTGGAGTGATTTTCACCTCTTTTAATACTTTTTGCCTCATTCTGAAAGAAAGAAGTGAAATGTTTCAACGTAACGACCGTCTTGGTGTGTGGTGCGAGACGGGAGATGTAGGTCATTGAGCGGTTCACAAAAAAAGTGTTACTTCACAGTTTTACGACACATTTTTATTTTTTTAATTGCAAAATCATCTTTTAAATTGACAAACATCATATGTGTAATTCGTGACACAATTCAAATGGGATCGAAAGATAATCTTTCTCTCTCCATTGACTTCAATGCATACTTTTTCCGAAATAAGGTCCCATGGAGCTCCACCGGAAAGGGAGGGACTTCGCCTCTATATAAAAAATAAATCTTTGCTAGAAAACGATCCCAGCTGTCGATCGTCGTCTCGCTGCAGCCCAGATTCAGAGCTGAGAATAACGTCCCTTTTAGACGGTTAAAAACTCTCTTCTTAAATCCCATCGGCAGGACGTCTGAGCCTCAGGAATGTTTTCAGCAGATTATAAATATAACTTCCAATGATTAATCTTTCTGTTATCACTTTACCACCAGCGGGTCATTAAAATGTCACGGCCTCCAGTCAGAAATCTAACCTTTTTAAACTTCACACCGGCAGCCATGGTTTTCTCCGGCTGTTTCCATGCTCACTATCAGCTCGAGCAGATAGCCGTAATGTCGTTTTACAGCGTTTATATATTCCTACAGATTCAGGGTTTAAATCTCAGTTTTTAAATAACAACCATCAGATCTGTTTCAACCCTAAGGAGACCAGCTGTAGCTTGAGAAAGATCATATATAAATATACAAGTGTTGAACTAGTGTTTTGAAACATACAATTCATTAATAAAATGATTATTTATTGTTTCTATTTGCGTTTTTAAGAAATGCTATACCATGGTAGTACTGGGGTTATAGGGTATACATATATAATTTGATCCTTTTGGAAACAAACTGAGGGTAGAAAGTAGTGCTGCACGATATTGGAAAAAACTGACATTGCGATTTTTTCCCCCTGCGATATGAAAAAATACAAGAATTGAAGAAAATACTTTTTTTTTTGTCCGCAAACCATCCTTTCTTGAACTTTAATGCTCTACAATTGGTATTTTTTTAACTATTTAACCAGATGAAGGTTTTTCGTCACGGACGTCTGGATCTTAAGTTATCAGAGCAACAAGCTGAGCTAGCTCGGTTAGCAGCGCCGAACTGCCCTGGAGAAACACATGAAACTACTTTATTCAGTGCTTTTACCTTTAATCACCGGGTCCCTTTGCTTTGGAGATTTGATTGTGATTGGTGGTTGGCTGTGCATGCAGAGCCTGCATGTCACTCATTCAAGTACTCCTGACATCAGAGCCGCGTGAGTTTTCCTTTTGTAGCAAGCAGCAAAAGAATTGTAACATGATGTGTTTGAGCTAATTTGCCTACTTAAAGGTGGGATAGGTAATTCACTTCAGAAACACTTTTTGTTATATTCCATGGAATGCTCTTAACATCCCAATAGCAATGAATACATGAAATGCTTTGACAAAAAATACATACAAACATTCATCTGTGGAAGCCGTAGCGCTGTAAAAAGCACGACCAATCATCTGAGCCGGCCCGGCTAAAGTAACTGGATGGCCTAACTGCCTGTCAGCCTTCCATCTGGGCACACACTTATCTCGTGCCCTCATTGGTCATGTGCGCGTTCGTGTGTGTTGGAGGAGGGGCTCTGTGAGGAAGTCTGAAGGAAGGGGCAGATTTTTCCTGGCTGTGTACTTTCAAATTCTAGCGCACTCGAGCTGGTTTCTCCATTCTTACCTACCCTACGTTTTTAATATCGCACGTCCTAAAAAAAAACCTGCGATGTGAATATTGCGCATGCGCATATCGCGATTATCATCACGACACAATATATCGCGCAGCCCTAGTGAAAAGTAAATAAAATACTTGATTAATAAATATTATTTAATCATAAATAACACTTTTTCCATGACAACATATCCATTGTATTTCTTTAAACGGTGGCAGGAGTGTGCTTATCAGATAAAAGATTGAAGTGCACATCAACAAGAACAAACACTTAAAATAGTTAGTTTTATGTAATATACCATTTTTATAATATTGAGTTCTTTGTGTTTTCAGATCTCTTTATGCCTTTCATATTAATGATTGATTTCCATATATTTTCCTCTGCAGTTTGCTGTGTTGATGTGGATCCTGACCTACGTCGGCTCCCTGTTCAACGGCCTCACTATTCTCATTCTCTGTGAGTGACAATTTCCCATCATGATTTGACATTATATACATATTTATTATTTAAATGAACTGGCGGTACAGTTATACAAATAAATGACTTACATGTGTTTTTAATAATGTCATAAAAAGTCTACAGTCAAGTCTAAAACTGTGTTGCTCTGTGAGGCGTTCAGGGTCTGTCAGTAATTTTTAACCTTCTTCCTCAGCTCTGGTCGGTTTGTTCAGCTGCCCGATCGTCTATGAGAAGCATCAGGTAAGTCTTTAATATTAATCCAATAGTTATTAATTTTCCTGATTTTCTTTTTTTCAATAGAAATGAATAAATAGGTTTTTAAAAAAAAAAAAAAAAAAAAAAAGAATATTCATCTTAACTTTTTTTTTTTATCCTAACTCATTTATTGTTCTTTGTGTTTTCAGACTCAGATCGACCACTACCTGGCTCTGGTCAGCAACCAGGTCAAAGACGTCGTTGGAAAGTAAGAAACGGAGCTCCCAAAACATGTTTTTATATGATAATGGAAGTATGTAGAGACCGACACGAATACGAGCAGGAAGCTAATTTTAGACTCCTGACAAACAATAAATGTACATAATATTTACAATAATTTTAAAGACAGCCCTTTCTGATTAAATCCTCCTTTCAAAGACACCAAACTAAATTGGAAAAATGTTATTTTACCTCGCAGGACAAAGGAACTCAACTAGCCTTCAGTCCTGCTACTCAGAACAGCAGGTTTAAGTACCAAAAAATGGAGAAGCAACATCACGTCGTTCAGCCAAATGTTACATGGTTGATGACGCTATATTTGGCTAAAACTAATAGTAGCAGTGAGCAACTCCCATGTTCTTTCCTGCTAATTTACTGTTAATGTCAATGGAGTTTGGTGGCAAAGTATGCTAAACATTAGCCGCTTTCACACCAAGTACTTTGCCGTACTTAGTTCCCAGCACTTAGTCCCGCCGAACTCTTTAGTGCCGGAACTGTCCTAGTAGATCGTGTTCACACCGGAATAAGTCTCTGAGGGAGGATTACGCAGATGAAGCCGCTGACGTCACCTCTTCTGCTTTGGGTTTACTGGCAGGCCGCAAACAACTTCACGGCGTATACTGCCACCCGAAGTCCCCGGCCGGAAGTCCCCGGAGTTGGGGAAGGCTTCAGTAGAAGCTGCTGGGACTCCAAGCAGCTTCTACTGAAGCCTTCCGAGTAAATCGCCAGAACGCCGACACCTCCTCATCTCCACCGCTCCCATGTTTTCTTTTGTGTTGCCATAAGTTAGTCTCTCTCCGTTGGTGCGCGGGGCTAATGCTAATGCTAATAATGCTAATGCCAGCAAATAAAATGGCGGCTTCACAAAACTTTTCAGAGTTTTACGGGACGTGGTTTGCAATCCGCCCAGCCAATCAGAAATGGGAATCTTTTTCTCCCCAGGAAAGTACCTGCTCACTAACAGGGACTGAAAAGGGGGTGAAAAGGTTCTCATGAACTAAGTTCTAGTTCCAGATCTTTTTGGTGTGAAACCAAAATCACAAGCACTATCAGCCTAGTTCTTGGGAAAAGTACTCCGGTGTGAAAGCGCCTATAGTGTTCTATAAACTCTATTTTTAAAAAGTAACTCGTCCTTACTCACTACAAAGTCAAAGATATTAATACAATTACTTTTATATTGTTTTTGTTAATCTTTTTAATTTCTTCTCTCCTGCAGGATCCAGGCGAAGGTTCCCGGGATGAAACGAGTGAAAAAAGAGTGAAAAAACGTCAAGTCGGAGTTTGTTTTCAGGAAGTCCTGACCGGAGAGGGGGGGTGGAAAGAGTGTTGTTGGGGGAGGGAGGGGTGATATCTGAAGGAAGTCTGGAGATGGAGATTTGGGGGGGGGGGGGGGAATCTGGCTTGGACGCAGCCCTTCTAACTCTTATTTGTCAAAATAATAAAAACACTTTTTTTTTCCAGTTCAGAATTCCTTTTTTGTGTGTTTTCTGGGAAAGTGGAAGCAGGTCTGTTTGATGATGAGATGTTTGTTTTCTGCGAGATGCTGAGAAATCACAAACACATTTTAATCTTTTAATTAAACTCCGATGCCCCCATTATCGGGTTTTTTTGTCGTCTTTTTTCCAGCTTTTTTCCCTTCGTCTGGTGTGTTTGAGAAGGACGAGGCGAGCGGTGAAAACCTCATTTGTATTTTCATTTTTTTTTGGTTGAGTTAGAAGTATTTTGTGATTTTATGGTTAACTGAAACGCCATCGTGTCCCTCAAGCTTCGAGCTAGCGTCCTGTCGACTTTTGTGGGTGGGTGGGGGGGGGGGCTTGTACTACCATTTAAAAACTTCATTGCTTCTGAGTAACTCTAGTTAGAAACTTCTAGAAAAAACCTTTGCCAGACGATTTAAACACATTAATTACATACAAAGTCGTTATTTCCATGTCCATTTGCTGCTGTTTAGTAAAGAAAACACGTTTACATTCATCCACATCAGATAAAATATTTAAAAAGTACAAAAATAAATGAAAGGGATTTAAAAAAATAAATAACCATACTGTCTGTGGAGCCAATATCTTAAAGTTGCAACTTGATGTGACTTTTGGGAAAGCTTTTGTTTGTTATGCAAGTATAATTGTGAATGATAAACTTCATACTTCAATTGTGACGATAAAAAGCTTCCCGCCGGGAGCCGTGTTTGTGGAATGCATTGTGAGATGTAAACAATTATCAATAAAGCTTCTAGAAGAAGAAAATACCTGCCTCCTCATTTGTCCGTAACGTTAGCCTCCATTAGCTTTTCATAGCGTTCGGTTGCCTGTGTTAGCTTTCGTTAGCCTCAGTTAGCTTCTCATAGCGTTCCGTTGCTTCTGATAGCTTTAGTTAGCCTCTGTTAGCTTCTGTTAGCCTCTGTTAGCTTCTGTTAGCCTCTGTTAGCTTCTGATAGCTTTAGTTAGCCTCTGTTGCTTCTGTTAGCCTCTGTTAGCTTCTGTTAGCTTCTGTTAGCCTCTGTTAGCTTCTGTTAGCTTCTGTTAGCCTCTGTTAGCTTCTCATAGCGTTCGGTTGCCTCTGTTAGCTTCTGGTAGCTTTAGTTAGCCTCTGTTAGCGGCTAATAGCTTTTGTTAGCCTCTGTTAGCTTCTCATAGCGTTCGGTTGCCTCTGTTAGCTTCTGGTAGCTTTCGTTAACTTCTGTTATAACTTCAATACAATTTTACAAATGATTGCTAGTGATAACTATGATGACTAGTAGACCCAATCTATTTGTATTATATTTATTAGAATAATAAATCCTGCTTTGTCTCTGATCCCAAGCTGCTTCACCACCAGTTCTACTAAAATACTTTTAGATACACTTTCATGTATGTAGAACACAACTGGTAGATTATGAAGCACTTTGTAAGGAATCTGGTTTCTTTAAAGGCAGTTTGTGATTTTAAGGCTTTTTCAGTGAGACTCATTTGACAGATTTGTGCTCAATTCTCTCACAAAGGCACTGTAAGGATGAAACCTTAACACTACTCGAAAATGAAGTGCTTGGTCTAATAGATGTTCTTTAAGAATGTGACTCTTAAAAGCACTTTGAGATTTTAACGCTATTTCAGTGAGACAATGCAGTTTTTTTTAATTTTAATTCAGGGGGATTTTTGCAAAATTACAGATTTACAGGAACTATCCGAGAATCAAACCTTAGTCCAGGGGTGTCCAAACTGCGGCCGGCGGACCATTTTGAATCGGTCCTCAGCAATTTCAAAAAGTATAATGACTTAAGTATAATAAACTTCTGCTTGTCTTTTATTGTACTTCTTAAATATATATGATGAATTATATTACACTGTATTCATGTGTTAATAAACACAATTTTCAAATAAATTCAGTCAGAGTTGAAAACATGTTCTCATAGTTGATAAGAAAAAAGCCCCATAACTTATTTACATAACAAGCTTGAAATACACCCTTCATATTTCCTCTTATCAGCAATCTGAAACTCTGTTTTAAGGAATGAACTGCCAACAGAATAAATGAAACCCTCTGGAGAGCTGTGAGGTAGGCTGTTATTTACTTACAGCATTTTCAAGTATCAAGAATAATTTTCCAAATTATAAAAATGTTCCCAATTTATAAGTGAACGTATGAGGCAATATACCTCTAGTGAGTGGCCCAGCCCTTCGTATATTTTTCTGTATCTGACCCTCATGAAAAAAGTTTGGACTCCCCTGCTGTAGTCATAATTCATATATCTTCAGTCAGGTCAACCAAAGCAATAACTCAAGTCCACAATCTCTGGTTGTTCGTATCAAACTTTCATTTATTGTGTATTTCAGGCGGTTTTGTACATGAGAACTATTTTTCCTCAGACAGAAAAACAATGTGCCTTGTGATTACTTCAGGGACCTTTTCAGGAAATGGTGTGTGTCAACACTTGTTTATCACACAAACGGACTCTTTTGACACTCTTAACAACAGTTAATATTCAGACACAGAGAACTCGTCCACACTGAAATGTAGGCATAAATAACACTTAGATATCTTCCATAAATATTTCTCTTTACATATATTTATTTTCTGTTTTACGATCACAATGGTCCTTTCAAAAACAAAAAGCAGCAGCAAAGAAAATATTTTTTATATTTCCGTCCATTTCAGGTGGAATAAAACATTCTCAGTGTAGCACCAGACAAAGTATAAAATAAGTTAAATAGTGGAATAAATAAAAAAACAACAGTGTATGAAATATCCCCCTCCCAAAGCAAACAAACACAAGTATAAAGTTCCAGAAAGGCACTTAAGTTTCATGAAGTCCAACGACAGATGCAGTAAAGGCTTTTTTGAAATAAAAATGAATTTAAAACGTATATTTTTTCCTTTAATGTTTTGTAATGATTTCTGACGTCAGATCAGTCCAGTTTCTCCTCTTAATGGTCCCATAAGTTTTGCTGTTAAACACTCTTAATTCTCCATTGGTGACCTGAATGCAGCATCAATCCAGGAGGCTGGTTTATAAAAGATACACAAACAAAAACAGAATATAATTATAAAATACTATTCATTAACCATCTGATTACACCTCTGAATATGTCATATTAAGACTAGTTTTATATGGAAGACTAGAGCTGCTATTACATCAAATACATATAATAATAAAGAAATTATGGTGACGATGAGAGAAACACCTACGTCACTTCCGGGCGAAAAGTACGGCCCGCCCACTTTTGGGGGAAAACAACGCTGTCATTTGAATGACGGTCAATACAAATTCTGAAGTTTTTGCCAATCCGATCAGAAATGTAAGAAAACCGTGGATTTTCTGATCTTCAAAGAGCCCGATTACGATGGCCAGACAGGCAAACAATTACATTAAATCATTTGAAATCGACGATCGTTCTCGATATATGGTTAAATTGAAATCAGTAGGCGAGGCTGTAATTTCTCCAGCTGTTACTCTCATGAGCGAGGCAGAAAATAATAGTTTTATCATGCCAAAAAGCTGCTGTGTCGTTTATTGCTCCTCAAACATTAAAATAAACCAGAGTTACGTGTTTCTGTACTTCCTCTATGAAGAAAGGACAGTAACAGAAGAGCTCTGTGGCTTCAGGCTCGATCGCCGTTCAAATGACAGCGTTGGATTCCCCCAAAAGTGGGCGGGGCCGTAAAGTGACGTTACTCTCATGTATTGGTTCATTGATAAAGTAATAAAGATATGTAGAAATAAAAGCCTCAATTATCAAATAAGTGTGCACCTGGTTTTTAAATGTGTTTTATTTACTTATCTATTTCTGTAAATAATAGATAAATATTAAGATTTGTCAACTAAAAATACCAATTTTATTTATTTCTAATTTAGATTTCCAAAATAACGCACATTTGTTAATTAAGGCTTTAATTTCTACGTGTATTCATTGAGTTATTTATTGTAATGGCAGCTTTAGTCCTCCATAGATATCTGAGCTTTCATAAGTATTTTTAGTAGATATATATTTAATTTCTAGTATGAACATTTACAGCAGCTAATAACCATAAACGGTTTGTAATCAGCTGTTTTTTTCTTCATTCAATAACAAGTTAAACAGAGACACCAAATGTATTTTCACATATTAAATATTTTCGGCCCCAAAATAGACTTGATAAATGAATGTATCCACAATGATTCATAAAAAATAAAACTTCATACATCTGACAAATACAAATAGATATTTACGTCTTGTGTGCACACAGATTTTATGCATCTCGCTCCGGGGAAATAACGTTTTCTGTGAAAATCCAAAATGTTGTTGTGTTGTCTTCTGGTTCTCGTCAGTTGTTTATTTTCAGGGTCATGTGATCATTGTTTGTCTGCCTGTTCTCCAGCTTGTAAACTCTGTTGGCGAAGGTTGAAGGTCGCTGGTTCGATTCCCTCTGGATCCACTTGTGTTAAGGCGCTCAGACGACAGGAAGCTGCGTTTTACAGACATTTCCACACGAACACGCTGCAACACAACAATCAACACACACATTATCACAGGTTCCCTTTTATGACATTTTCCCAACATTTTTTACTTTGACTTTTCATATTTTAAGCCTTTTTTTGACACTATAATTGTTTTCGAAAAACAATACTATGATATTTTTCAGATTTTAAGCCTTTTTTAATAACAAATGTCGACATACTATACAATGAATAGGATGAGTTTACCTGCAGTCGTCTCCTCCGGTGCTGATCACGTATTTGTCTTCGTGGGAGAAGCGGATGTTTGTCACGTGAGCCGAGTGGCCGAGGTAGCGCTTGTGTTTGGCCTGCAGACAGAATACAAATGTTATAGCCAACACTTTTTTACATACTATGACATTTAATATGTTCTCTTTTCCTACATTAAGACTAATTATGACTTTAGCATGGAGTAATTGACTATGATTTGAAGGCTTTTTCTAGACTAATCTACTAGACTTTCTAACCAAAGATATTTCCACCAAATAAATGACGATTTTAGTTTTAGTTTAATTTGGTCAGCTGTGAGAAACAATATCAAAAAACCTACTGAATGTTTTTCCTGTGATGAAAAGTCATCAAAGATGTTCACCACCTTCCAGCGGTCCTGACTGTATTTCATTGAAAACACGATACACTCACAAACTTCTCTGTGCAGGGGAAGTCGAACAGTTTGACCAAACCGAAGTCGTCTCCCGTGGCAACGTTCAGGCCGCCGTGAGACACACACGCACAGCTGACCTCCGCTTTGTCTGCGTTTCGAGGCCAAATCCCCAAAACTTCATCTCCCAGAATGCTGAGGGAGAGACAGGAAGTGTTGTTTTTAAATATATATAAGAAAATGAACCTGTAGATTATTACTACTATTTGTGTAGTTTGAATACATGTTTATTCATTACACACAGTATTCTTAACATATATAAATGCATCCTGTTACATTGATCATTTCTCTGGCCCATTGTAGCTTGTTTTGAATATGTACATTTGTCCAAAAATGTGTTATGTTAAGGTTTGAGTCACTTTAATCGTTGTTTAGGTGAGAACATTATTTTATGCCATATTTTCTCTGACATTTTATGATTTTTTTCTGAAAGTTATCCAATTCGTATTCAATGACTTACTGTAATATGAAATGTTTTCCTTTTTTCCTGACCTTTCTGTGAGGTTTTTTATCATAATATGTACAACAGTTTTAGATAACATGAATGTTTCATCATATCTGATATTTTAAATGAAGTGTGTGTGTTACCTGGTCCAGGTTGCCCAGGTGATTCTGTCGATGATGGTCTGGTC